GTTGTCAATGGTCACACCAAGGTGCTTGTGAGAGGTTACAGATTGGATAGGAGTGTCATCTAAAAGAAGGTTGATTGAATGAATTGTATTCATAATTTTATGAGGAAATAAAGTTCCTACACAATGTAGTGGAGGATTACAGTAAATCATACATTTGACCATATTCATTCACTGGTTGTTACCTCTGCCAAGAAGGTTAAGGTTATGTATTCACCGCTCTGTCTGTCTGTCTGTTAGCAAGATTACACAAAAACTAAGGAATGGATCATTATAAAATTTAGTGGAATGGTACATAATAATTAAAGAAAAGATGAATAAATTTTGGGAAGAAAAGGTCAAAGAACAAGGTAAAAAAAAAATCATTTTCTTCACCCCTGAGAAAATTAATGGAATTGCCCATTATACAAAGCTTGCACATTGTTTGGTATACAGGAACAGGGCAAATATATGCACTATGGAGTGACTGCTCTAGTTTGATTGATTGATCAAGTGGTTTAAGTGAACTAGTGTCTCTTACCAAACCTGGGACTCTCCTGCAGATGTCTCATTATGGCAAAGATCCAGTTCCAACCAGGCAAGAATACCAGTATAGCTCCCTTGATCTCAAGTCCACAAATGTAGCCTATCAATGTATCAATCAGTTCAAAGTTCATCTCCTTTTCACTCATCATCCTCATTGCAATCTTTGTCTTCTCTGTGTAATCGCCTTTTATAGTTTTATTCATGTTTTCCTTTTCATAACAGGATGCAAAAAAAACATATTTTACCAGAGAAAGAAATGGCATTTAGTATCTTAAGCTGGGTTTCCATACAATTGCTACACGTCTATTACTGATAGCTTTTGTGATGTTGATTGGTCGGTCGAATCAGGGAGCCTTCCTGATTGCGTCGGGGACTGCTACACAGTACAACGATTGCACTGAAAACACTGTATGACAGTGTAGCGATTTTATGGAAATCAAGCTTTGATTTCATAACTTCATATTAAGACATTGGAATACAAAAAGATAAACTAATTTAATCTTTTTATCTATTATTTAATAAAAAAAAAAAAGCTGCAAATTAAGTAAACTTATCACTAGATAGAATGGATCATAAAAATTGATATTATATAATTGCATACATATACATGTTAAATTATTATATATTCTTATTGTGTCATTTCTAACAATGGAATATTAATATCTAGAATAAACCATACATTGTACGATTTATATTGTTTTATAATAAAATATCAAAAGGTGAAAACGAAGTAGAAGATAATAAACCATATCTTACATCATCCTCGGCTTCGTCATCACTATCATCCTGATTTTTGCGCTTTTTCCTTGAATTTTGAGATGGAACAAAACCCAGCATCTGGACAATATCTTCCAAGAAATATTCTGTCAATATTTAAAAAATACATCAGGTCAACTAAACTGCAAATAATTTCTCATTTCATATTCCTATTTCTGTCCATAATCTAAGAACACAGTACAATCTTCCAATAGTGTAGTTTGTAGGCAGTTACAATTAGGACTAAAATTCTACATTCCATTTGCTTATGACATTAGGAAAGGTGCGGAGGATTTAATGCTCGGTGAGATTGTCTAAACTGTTGTTCTATAATCCAAGGCACAATCCCAACAAAAGATAATAAAATGTCCTAACCTTGTACAGAATATGCTCTTCCTTGAACTTCAAGAACTGGACAATCACCAAAGTAATTGCTAAAAAGCTTGATGTCAATTGTGGCTGACATTAGAATGATTCGCAGATCTGGATTGGCTTTGGACATTTCACGCAACACAACTAACAAGAAATCAGTCTGCAGGAAAAAGAATCAAGGGCCATGTTAATCAAAATATAATTATGATGATGGATAGATAAATTTAAATACGAGTGTCATAAGTAAGTTGTAATTATCTCTTACATTTAAATCACGCTCATGAATTTCATCAACGACGACATGGGAAATACCACGCAGTCCAGCTTCCAACTTTCTCAGCAGTGTACCTGTAAAACAGAGCAAGTAAAAGCTTGTCAACATTTAATTAAAACGATATTATAATCAAGATAAGACTATAGAAGAAATGTGTGGAAATTATTTTTTAGCCTTTATCCATGTAACACTGATAATGCACATCAAATAAATATCATATTTTTAAATGTGTACTCACCAACTGTCAAAAACATGATGGATCCCATAGGTCTAGGCTTGATGGAATCGAATCTGACTGAGTAGCCTGTACTGTATCCTAGTTCCTCAGCACGTTCTGAGGCTACACGCTCTGCCACCGAGACAGCACTGATACGACGTGGCTATAGAACAGGCAAAAATAAGTCATGAATACCGGTTATCAATTAAAAATACTGTTGCTACTTCACTGTAATTCAAATACATTAAAATTCAATACATTGAAATATAAATATATAACTTTACAGTAATTTAATTATTATTGATCGATATAACACATGACAACAGCACTTTTAAGACTAACTTGTATAAAATTTATTTTAGCTTTTGTCCACACAGTGGACATTTATTATATCTATAACAGAATAACAGGGCTACAATTTTTATTATGAATTGATAAATTGTATATGTAATATTTCTTCCAGTATAAAAATCCATCAGTTGGAAGTCCTAACTTCTTCTCGAGTCTGTACGTAGCTAGTGTGTATGATCTTGCTTACGTAGTGTGGTGTAAGGACTTGCAGGTAGGACACTTGACATGGGCCGTGACGTAAACGCTCATTCTGTGGACAGACAGGGGGCTGAAATTGACCAATCTTTAAAGTGCACACGACCCAAATGTGTACACTGGACCTACGGTTTAGAGTTCCTATCCGGGAAGACTTGTTCCACCACCGGAACCATAGGCGAGCGTACCATTTGAACCAGCGCCAATGTTATGATTGTGTCGCAGTTCCCCTGTCTTAACTGCTCTGCCAATCGACTCACCTAGTCATAACTGAATGATGTATAGAGCAGGAGGTAAACAAAACGTGAATGTTCCTACCTGGGTGACAACAATGTTGCAGAAGGCACCTTTACCAGAACGAATGTAGTCATCAAGAATGAACTGAGGTACTTGTGTGGTCTTGCCACATCCTGTGGCACCTCTGATGATCACCACTCTATTACGCTGGATCTCATCCAAAATCATCCTTTGAGCTTTGAAGATTGGAAGAGACTCGCGACCTTCCATGCTCTGAAATTCCAAAAACGTCAAATACTTACAAACAAAAAGTACATATATTTCGGCTTGTAGCAGAGGCAAAATAGATAAAATTAGACAGATGCCCTTTTGAAATAAAAAATATTGCTCTTCTATGGTATATAAATGCCCATCAAAGATTTTATGGGAACCATTTTCGATGGACAATGAGAAAGACTTTTGCTATTCCTTCTTTATTATTACTGACTTTTGGAAAATTTGAATCTATTTGAAGAAAAAAATTAATTATAATCGCACATAGAAGATTATTTGAATTATAATAAGAATAACAATAATAGCAATAATATAAATAAACATAAGAATAATAATAACAACAATAAGACTTACAAAGCGCACATATCCACTGCAGTAATGCTCAAGGCAAGCATTAATATTATACACTTTATAAAGACTATTATTATATTTTTTTAGGTTCACATGATTGTAGTCCTATTTAATAAAAATTCTACATTTCACAGAAACAACTGAATTGCAAAGAATATAATTGTACAAATAAATGAAATTTATTAATTATTGCCCAAATTCAAAATAAAGTACACTAATTATGAAAATATGACTTGTTAATTTTGATAACTGTTCTTTATTCTAACTTACTCGAATATACTCTGGTTTCTGAGTGTGCATATTGGCATTGTTTAAAAGATCTTGACTCACTTGGTCTAATGTCATCTGAAACAACAATAATCAAACACATAACTTACTTTATTTAAGAAAGGTAATTTCTAATTTAAATAAAAATTGAGTGGGGATGTCCACTCTGACTAGTGGTGTAACTAACTTCACACTCACAAATTATGGAACCTTCAATGGGGAAGACCGCTGCCCCAGAGAACACCTGCGAGTGGACGCTCGAGGGCAGTGGTTGCATTTAGGTTCTTGACACAGTTCGCCTTCCAGTTCGAGACCACCTTGGGGACCAGAAAATTTGGGGGTGGTCTCGGGGTTTGGTCTCTAATTAGAGGGTTAGCTTTGTGTTCAAAGATTAATGATTGTTAGTTGGTTGTTTGGAATTGTGGTCTTGAATTATAGGGATCTCGGGATTAGAGGGGTCTAGAATTAGAGGGTGCACTGTAAAACACTAAAATGAGCATTTGGTGATGCATCATCGACCGAAGCACACACTCATCCAGATGCAGAACCGGTTATAACAGGCACCAGCATAGAATAGAAAAGAAAGTGAATTGGTCTTATAGCGTACATTACTCTATGTCAATGAAATACATAACTAGCTTCCTGGGTAGTATTCCAAATTAGTATACCTCATAAATATCAATTACATGTAGGTAATAACAGCATTTCATTGGTCAAATCTAATTGGTAAAAGGTATGGTAATTGTTACTGCTTCCCTGCAACTACCATACCCCTGCCTACATGTGAACTGTAACACATGTAACACAGATCAAAATGGCCAATAGTAATATAGATGGATGCTTTGCTGTTTAATATTTATGAGGTATAGTAAAACAAAAACAACATGGATTTATTGATAAAGTAGTGAATTCTATTTCTCGTGTTGTTGGATGATTGGGATTACCTCACTCCACTTTGTGTCAGTAGGTAGTCACATCATTGAACACTTTGAAGTAGAATTCAATTCAATACTTCACTCAAGAAGTCAAGTCATGTTGTATTTGCATACTTTTAGGTACTTTGTACCTAATTACTCAGGAGGGGAAGGAAACAAATTAAGGTAAACAATGTAATACTTACATAAGCAAGTGGTCCTTCATCAATGTTGCAATTCGACCAGGGGTTCCAATTAGCCTGAGGGGGAGACCAAGATACACCCCAGCAGCCCCTGGGTCCTTCAGGGTTTTCAAAGTCAGTATGGTTTGGGGCAGTCTTCAGTGATTGTGGTTCCTACAGGTATATGTTCATATGAAATATAATTGTCATTCATGTCATAATGGTCACAATGTTCACACAATGCAATGCAAACCTAAATTGTCACCAGTAGGTTACAGTTTGTACTACAGTAGAGTAGATTAACAAACAAGATTATATTACTAACCACAAGTTAGATTATTTTATACTCTCTTGTCTTAAAGGATTGCATTGTAATTTTAATATAGTGTATAAAATAAATAAATAAATATTATACAAGAATTAAAACAATTGCTGATAACGATCAAACAACTATAAACTTCCGATGAGAAAAACATGAAATTTTCACTGACAGATATTTTAACTAGGAAATCTATGTAAAGAATATAGTTAGAAATGAAAGTATTTTCCTAATTTTCAATTAAAAACTACCTAACTTAAATACACAGTATTTATTAATATTTTTTTAACCCAACAGAGATCTGTAATGATTTATGTATTTAAACAAGTATTCAATATAAAAGACAAAAATATAATGTACTTTCAACACTGTATTTCTATCAGTTTGAAAGTTTCAAAGTAAATAATGCAAACTGTATACACTGACCCCCTGCGGTGACTGCTGCACTGGCTGAAGGTTGAGGGCATTCAATGTAGTGTCCAAAATTTCCTCCACATCTGGCACAATATGTACAATGTAAGGGTCAAGCTATAAATCAGACAATTTATTAATTTATTATTGATAACAGATTTTTAATGTCATTTTTAAACAGCTTGTGATTCACTTACTGGACAGTGCTCTGGGGATGGAATGTACAGAATGCACATAGATCCTACTCAAAAACAAGATTCATGGTGGTACAGTAAGTAGCAACAAATTTCCAGACATTAACATTTACCTGAACGGTAGCCTTGTTTACAGTTTTCCAATTGACAGATGTAATAATAATACATGACAAACTATTCACATATCATTGAAAGTGTGATAAGGCATTTTAAGAATTGAAAATGTGTGACTTTTCAAAATATATAAAAGAAAATTTTGCTTCTATCATCAAAAAAAAAAAATCCTGTGTGTGATTGATTTAATATGTGGTTAAAATGAGGAATTTTACTTTATCATTTAATTAATTTTAAACATAAAGATACATATTATGTATGACTAAAGCCCTAATAAAGGTTCCTGTTGGATTATACTAGGTAAAGTCACAGAAAGTTAAGAAATAAATTATATATACTAAATGCTTGCAGTATACCACATAGATAGTTCTTAAACGAACTGTTGTTTTTTGTTGAGAATGTCTCAACATTTTGGTTGAGTTAACTGCTTCAATCGCCATCAGGAGGATGATATTTCCTGAGTCCAGAGAAATACTTATATGATGGGAAAGTGAGACTTGCAACTGATTAATTGAAAACTAAGTATCTGAGACTAGGTGTGAAAAGGCCAACGCCACAAAGCCAATATTTAGTCTGCGTGAGTGCGTGGGGCATGTCTACAAAGCCAAGACAGTGGCATAATTGTTACTAGCTTAGTTGAAGGAAAGCCAACAGAACAGCATGGTTTCCATGTGGTGAATAATGCGCTGCTTTGGTTTAACAAGTTTTTTTTATTAAAATTTAAATTAGAATAATATACGTACAGTTTCAGTTTTCTTGGGCTTTTTCTCGCCAGTAAATCCTTCAATCTGCTTGAGATGAAAAAGTTGTCTGACCAATGACAATGCACATGCGATTGATGCCGTCTTCTTGTTTGAACCATTTTCTCGAGCATGAATCGCTACAATTCATTTTAATGCAAATATATCACATAAATAGGTTATTACAATTACGTATGAACAGAAAAAACACAATGATAGTCAAGTTTTGGAATACAGCACCTAAAACTTAAAAAATACTTACATTTCCTGAGTGGCTTGATCAACACCGACAGCTCAGCTACAAAGCTCCTGATAAAACAAAAATAAAATCAATATGTTTATCAAATCATACATGTTTTATTGCAATATCTATATACAAATTCAGCTTCATATTCATTCAAAATCAGTGAATTGGTTTGTTTTCTTTCGTGTAACTTAAGTGCATAGAGACCATGTAGTATGCGCTTTACAAGTCCCAAACCATTACCATTAGAATGATGCAGAGTACCTAGATTACAAAGTTTAAACTATGAGTGATTCTGTTCAACAAGCCCATGCAAAAAATAACATGTAAATGCTAAATACAGTAGAACCCCTCCATTGGGACACCCCTATTAAGGGGACACATTTTCGACCGCAAAATGAGGGACAGTATATCTTTTAACACTACGGCCAAACCCTATTTGGGGGAACCACATTAAGGGGACACTTTTTTTGGTCCTGAAGGCGTCCCCTTGATGGGGGTTCTACTGTAATATAATGTAGCCTGGTTTCCATCAAATCGTTACACGCTATGGCAGACAGCTGGCACTGAGTTCATTGGTCAGTCAAATCGATTGTGTAAGCGACAGTACGCAGTGTAATAATTGCAGTGACAAACTGAAGCGACAGTGTAGCGATCCTACGGAAATCAGGTTTAACTCTGTAACAGCCTGAGTGGTACAGCAAGTAGAAGCTTTTGTTCCTAGAAACTTTGACCATTAAATTCAAATAACTCTTAATATAATAAAAATTATGAAAAAAAAAAACCAACCTGATCATTGAAAGAAACACCATCCAGTAACCATGGTAACCTCACAAGGCAATATTGTTTGTAACTAACCAGAATATAAGAAAAATGACACAGATAATTACTATATGCCTCTATAAGCCAATAAGGGCAGCCATCTAGGATCACGTGATTGCAGCCTTCATTGTGTTTTAGAGCTTTAGATAGATATACATCATCTGTGTCAAATCTCATATATATTCATATTCAGTCAGTAGAACTCTGTAGAATGCTCCAGACTACAGACTTCTATTCAACAAGTTATTGAATATTTATGATTACTCATAAATATTCATAAATTTTATCTATTCTTGAAAAAAGTAAATTTTTTGAAGAAAAGAATGTTCAAGTATTATTCCTTTGATTGAGTTATTAGATATATGGCTTTGATGAATATTCATGAGTTCTTTCTAGAACTCATGAATATTCATCAGTTTCAACATCCAAAACTATATCAAAAGGAACATCAAATTTTCTGATTTCAAGCCTTGTAGGATTACCATGGTAGTAACAAACATATACAAACACACAACTGTAGCGACAAAATGTCTTATGAACAAAATCACGCTATTATATAAATGTACAATTTTTTTCTGCTTATAGTATAACAATATAGATATATAGGCAACTAAATACTTTAATTATAATTTTACTGTAATATTCTAATTGCACATTAACATTAATTACAAGCACATTCCTCATAAAAGGTTTGTAGAAGCCGTTATATGGCCTTGTGCTTGGAGACCCCAAAAGTTGCAGTTCAACACACCCTACAATGTGAGAATGCTAAGTTATTGGGAAAACAGTAGGTTTACAGTCACCATCAATGAAAAGGACACAAACACTCTCAAAATTCTGGCATTACAGGAAATATAGCATATAAAATTCTTACATTCAACACAGGTCAAGGCAAGTTCCTTAATTTCTCAGGTATAAGCCCACCCTTCTGAACATGAAATTGAATCGGTTTTGGTAGGTGGGCTTATACCGGGAAGTTCCCCTTTTTAAACTGACAGAATGCCCTACAACTTAAAGGAATGGTCAATTAAAAAAAAAGCAATTATTCAACACTGCATGTCCAATGTAAGGCCAATTGATATTTTTTTTAATAGAGATTTACAAGTCTGCTGAAATATTCAACAATGTTATACCCCAAGTTTTTGCCCACGTAAACGCTGGCAAATTAAATAGGATGCAAAAAGTAGGGGGGGCTTATACCCGCGGTATACAAATACCGGATTACTACGGTAGTGATTCTCACATGTCTTGTATAATCCATCTTATTTTTAATTCTTACGCCCGTATTCTTAAAACAAACTTTAGTCGAACTTCGATCTAGAACTTCATTTAGTGCTAGTTGCATCTTTAACTTCAATTTGTATTCACAAACAATGTAGTCGAAGTTTTAACTACGACTAAATCAAGTCCTAGGTTTAGTTCAACTGAAGACGACTGGCAAGCCACGACTATCAAACTAATCAATGAAAAGGGCAAACTTTAATAGCAGACGAAATTTTAGAGATCCGGTAACGCGGATGAATATTAAGCTGCCGTCTGTGGTTCAAAAACGTATTTCCTCATAATTCATAATAGACCATCATTCCCTTAATTAATTTTCTATAATAATAACTATATTAGTTGTTAACATATTACAATAGAGAATTTGAACAGACATTGAAAATTTGCTTTCTTTGGAGAACTATTATAGTTGAGCCAGAGCGAGGGCGGCACCATCTTTGTTGTTGTTATTATTGTGAAGTTATGTGATCGCAACGCGAGAGGATTTCGTGCAAATCAGGAACTATAGCATGTGGCTAGCAAAACATGTTAATTTCTCCTCCTGGAAGCTAAACTTGATGTCTCTTTTGTTTAACACACCGAAGATATATCAAACATGCGTAACAATCGTTTTTATTCGTTTCACTTTATCGTGAGTTACAAAAAACACGTTTTTAGTGGGGTAAATATTTCAAGTCGGCGATTTAGCCTGACCCTAGGCTGACTAAAAAAATCGGCCTGCGGAGGTATCATTTTAGTCGAGGTTCACGTCATTTAGTCGTAGTGCTAGTCGAAGTTCGTTTTAAGAATACGAAATGACGTAATTTAAAGTTTTAGCTCGAACTACGACTAAAGTTCGTTTTAAGAATACCGAGGTTAGTCATTCTTAGTTGATGGGTAGTCAGCAGGTGCATTGAGTATTCAGCACTTTGGAAAAAACCAACACAACCTGAAAATGGAAATAACACCCCTGCCCATAAAAATTACCTGGTTTCCCCTGAATCAGGAATGGTAAATGTCTAGTTTCATAAGGCAAATCGATTAGAAAATTGTTTTTAATGGCAGAAAGAAGCCTTGTAAAAGATGACTACCAGTACCAATAATTTCCTTACATAGTACATACAGCAGCACACCCGCACTTGACATAAACAAACCCGCTCGTATATATACACATACACCTTCTTGTATACACTACCTATTGTGATCAGGGCCTACAGTGCTGTACTTGTAATCTGCTGGTAACTTATTTACTTGTAAGTACTGATGAAGACGAGATTTGGCATTGGCCAATGTCCAGTTTCCATGGATACTAGAATTTATGTCAATACTCTCAGACTATTAAAAAAAAACAAAAATGAATACAGAAAAACATGAATTAAAATGAAAAACAGTTATCACAATGAAAAGAAATCAACATTTAAAATATTTATACTGGGAAAACAATTATTATTAGAAGAAAAATAATGGTAAAAAAACAATGTTTTGACACCATGATGGACACTCATTATCAAGTTCAAATAATGAGGTATACAGGACACAACTGCAACTTTTCATCTATAAAACTTTTGCTGTAAACTAGAATGTCAAAGTTCGTAACAATGGGATATTAATCCCCCAAGTCAGATAAAGAGCTCAGTTTGGACAGACAATTATTGCATCATATTGGAAATTTTGTTACTACAAATCTTCCTTTAGAAGAGCATCATAAGTGTACTTGCCTCTTCGAGTCGTCTCTTCTCTCCTTGTCTATCAAAGAAGCCCATCTGGTAACTAGGTACCCCACCTGATGCACCACTGCCCATTTGAGATGGACCGGCTGACATGTCATATCCCATCTGACGGTTGCTTTTCATTCCACTTTCTGAATAACCTGTTTATACCAACATTAGTAGTGTAATATTTTTTAATAAAGCATCTAAGATACAAGTAGGAATGAAATAATGTGTCCAGGGAAAGTGTTCATGTACGAGAGGTGGTCGCTTTAAACGAGAGTACACATCAAGTGAGGCCAAAATAGTAGTATGTAATCATCACTATTTATTAGGTTTTGTAATATAGCCCCCAAACATTGAAAACATATGGGGACTTAAAAACATCAAAACCTTGGTTACAGGCAAAGTTTACTGGCCTTAGATATTCAAATAGAACAATGTATAGATCTGATATTTAAAGACCAACTGAAAATAATACTCAAACAAAAAAAATATACAGAACCTAACAGACATAATTGTATGGTACAGAATGCTAGTTGTAATCTAATAAAGTGAAAGTCATTACTTGAAATCACCTACAGACAACTTGTGTTTGGTGGAAAAAATATTTCTTGACATCAGAGACTCATTTACCGGGGGTAAAATACGACAGATAAATCCAATTTTACGCCCAAAAGCTAACGTATCAAATTCAGTGAATAAATGGGAAACGAAACAGGCTTTTGGTAAGTGGTCACTTAAAAGAGGTGGTCGCATACAAGAGGTTGTTGAACAGAGAAGTTCAACAGTTAAAATAATCTCAAATGACTTCCTCATAAATGTTTACCTAGCTCAGCCTGTATTGCAACATGAGGTGCTACAGCTACTCCATCTGGGAGTTCTGCTGGCCCTGAACCACCATCATTTGGATTTTGGGCATCTAAAGAGCTTGTCAACTGAACAAAACAATAAAACTGTGTTACCAGGTTAGTTCATAATCATAATAATTTAATAGCTGTGAAATGTTGTTTTTATAATCTTTATACTTTTATATTATTTTTAATGATATATTATATTTGTTTGATAATTACTGAATAGGAGTGGTATTCTGACACATGTAATAGAAATTAAGTTTACTTAGAGACACGACCCACCCATCCAGCTATGCATTTGATTGGCGATAAAGAATAAATATGATTATTCAAGTTAGTAACATTAAAAAAGAGATATAAAACAAAAAGACAGTAACTCTGAAAAGAGACAGAGACATTTTGAGATTCAACACTTCGATCTATTTTATCATTTTCAAGAATACTAGTGAGAAAATCTCACCCATCCATATATGTTTACAATATTTACAGAAAGCAAATAAAAACCAACCAATCAGATTAAAATCAAAGTTATAACTAGCCAATTAAAAATGAGGTAATTATAAAATGAGGTGTGTCTTATATTAAGTATATCACTTATTATTGTGAATAAACAATGAATAATCAACAATTATTCAACAATAGTATAGAAGCCTGGGAATGCTGGCTGAATGAAAGTCTCATGACAAGAGATATAATATAAGAGATATAATATAAAAGCTGAACATGTCACCTGAACTGCTGGCACCTCTGACTCTTTCAAAACACCTGTACGTACTAGGTATTGCAAGAAGTCATTAGCAGCGTTGGTTTGGGCATCTTTCTTGGTTGTTGAATTCCCACAACCTGTGTAGCTGAATCCAGCAACTCGTACCTTTCAAATAAAAAGATACAGTATTTAAACACTAAATATTAATTGTCATAATAATGATAAATAATAAGAATAGTGGAGATTTGTATATAGCACCGGTATTCATCAAACAAGATGTTCATGGTGCTTGACATCTGGACTAGGAACTCCATCAATGACTTTCTTCACCCCTAATAGTCCCTTTGAGTCTGTGTTACCCGGTAACCTGGTACCACCAACTCTCGTCGCCCACCACAGGGGCTGTCTGAAATGGGGTCTTAATAGTGTAAATGAGGCACTGTGTACACTGGCTGCATGGTTTATAGTCCTTATACAAGAAGACTTGTTCTACCACCAGAACCATAAGCGAGCGTACCATTCAAACCAGCACCGATATTATGGCTGTAAGTTGCGGTGCCCTTGCTAACCGCTCGGCCATTCGACTCGCAAGTGTGGACAATAAAGCAGACTAGTTGTTTTAGTTACTGGGACAGTAAAAGGGTTTCAATAAAAGAAAATGAATGCTACAGTATGTACAACAATATTCCATACATGATGCATTAACAGGAAAACACACAGGGGTTTCAGTTACTACTCTAGAATACATACATACTGTACATTACATCATTTATATCGTGCTATTTTATAGTATGCATTTTTTGTATTTATTTTACTAATATAGTGTGGCGATGAAATGCATCTAACAGAAGAAACCAGAAAGTGAGATGATGAAACCAAACACCACATAGTGCTGGAGTTTTGGTAGTGACCCAAACTAAGTACTATGGAAAGGAAAGAATGGGAAAATATAAGGTAAGTAAAGAAAAATCTATTGGAAAAGAAAGGAAAGGAAAGGGAAAAAAAGAAAAGATGTAGAAAATAAAAGAAAGAAAAAGGGATGGGGGAAGAAAATGTAAGGAAAAAATTACAGGGAAGTAAAGGAAAAGAGAGGCAAGTGGTAAGTATGAAAGAAAAGAAAGGAAAAGAAAAGAAAAGACATCAAAAAAAAGGAAGAAAAAGGTGAGTAAGGTAATAAGGTTAGGAATATAAACACATAACAATTGGGTAGATAAAAAAAAAATAAAATTACTGTATTTTTAAATTATTTAAAACTTAACATAGTATAATTGTATATTTATAGTTGATCATTCATTATTAGTGAAACTTTTAATAATTTATCCCACTCCCTGCTGTAAAGCGCATAGAGGAAATTTATATTATGTGCTATATAAGTTGACATTATTACTATTATTAATACCTACTTCACACATGAAGCGTTGACGATGCTTGGGACCCGATGGTCGTACATCATACTGTGGTACAGCTTTCTGCTTACAGCACCACTGATAAAAGAAATTCTTAACCTCTGCTGCCATAGGAATGTCACTGCAACTAATTATAAGAAAATATTAAGTAAATGTTAACAAAATATTACAAATAAAATTAAGGATGTTAAGAACAATAGCAACTGCTCACTGGTCCGCGCATTCCTCCACGCTTACAGTAAATACAGTACAGGCGCAAGTTATTATATTGGATTTTTTGGAAGAGCTAATAAGATAGAAATTTTTTAATAATTATAATATTTATTTGTACAAACAAAAAATTTAAAATAGAAAAATAAAATGCCTTTTAAAATTAAAAAAAAAATTGAATACCAAGACCCAATTTGAACTCACAACCTTTGGTCCTTTCGAACACATCCTTAACCGATCGCGCCATCCATGTGACGTGCCCTATTAGTGCTAATGGCAGAAATGTACTGATGAAACCCCTGTTTATATTTTGTAAGCATAGCGGAACCTGATTTTCTGTGACATAATGAAAGAAGGCAAAAGCAGGTCAAGAATTGGCGCAATAAATAATCACAAATTGCGTCATTTATATGTCTTTGTAATCGCAAAGTGGGCAAAGTGTGGCCCAACAGTGATTTTTTTTAAAAGCCCTACAGGTATGTGTGCCCGCCAAACATCTTTGGAAAGAAAACGACTTCTTTTTTACAGCCCGACACCGATCATCTGTAAAAAAACTAATATCAAAACTGAGAATAAAGTTGTATAAAAGCTGTGCATGAAAGTTTAAGGAAGCACACTGGAAACATCTGTTTGGTGTGCGGACCTTGGTGTTAAATCAAAAATTCACTTTGGCCCTCCGGCCAATTGTTAAGCCTACCCCTGCATTAGGGACTCTGCATTGAGTTCAATGTAAAGTTTCAACTTTCGTAAGCAGCGGTATATCGATTATTTTTTCTGTGGCTTGACAGAGTCAAAACAAAAGTTCTGAAGTCAGAGTTTTTTCAATGAAGAGTCATAAGAATTACTGTACTGTATAGAAATGTCAACAGAAAACCAGCCTTTAGCCTACCCTACCGAATTAAAAATGGCCTTGGAATTGAGTAAATCCACAGACCAGCTCCCAGGAGGAAAAACATTTTTTGATGTTAATTTTCTACACCCAATTACGGTACTGTACATTAAAAACTGTGATGATTTTATTAATATTTTATATGAATACCCAATGCCTGGTTTGAAAGTGGGCCCAATCACCCTGAAAATGGGGCCGATAGTCTTAGAAATGGGACAGATATTCTTGTGCGCCTGATTGTCAGACTTTAGGCCTTGGCAAAATCATTTCAGTCCATGACTGTCGTAATCATATGTTTATACTGTATACTACAGTATTTGTTGATGTTTGATGGTAATTATATTATTTAATTGCGATTTTTCTTATTAATATGTGTATGTAGGCCTAAACCCTACCTAGGGCTAGGTATGTTAAATAAATTTAGAATGCAATAATGAATTATTATTTCACCTTATTTCATATTCAAATCCACATTAAAAGCAAGTTACAGATCGTGGCCTAAGGCCAAATTGGTAGCAACTTTTACAAGGAACAAAAGGTCACATGCAAAATCCACTCAAAAAACAAAATAAAGATGTACAAGTGGAACAACTTGATTGTTCTAAGAGAGGGGAGCAATCACCAGGAAGACTAATGTGGGGGGGGGGGGGATTAAGAGATATTGAGTATTGAATATAATATGGTATGGGACTATTAGAAATCTTTTGGTTTTGCATTTAAGCTGTGAATAATTACTGTACTTCCATTGCGTAGACTTCTAACATGAGATTGTTTTCAGGTAGGGGAAATCAGATCAGCAGAATGATTAGTAAGAGAAAGGCCTTTAGCAAATTTGAGGCAGTGGGCTGCTCTCCTCTCATAGAGGGAATCCAAATTACAAAGAGTTGCATGTTCATAAGTCTGATAGTTCTTTCCTAAAATAATACGGCAAGCACGCTTCTGAGTAGCCTCAAGTTTTGCACTAAGTGTTTTAGTGATTCAAGTGTGCCAAATCACATCAGCATATTCGAGGACAGGTATTGTATCCAGTATAATAATTAGGACAAAAAGTTCAACTGTTCTCAGCTCAAATTTTTTAAGGTTATTAAGAATGAACATTTTCCTGAGTAAGTGGGCCCAAACCCAATAACAGGCCTGGCCTCTAGGTAGGCAGACCCGATCGTCTTTGCGTGTGCCCGATCACCCACACTTGTCGGGCCGATCGTCTTTAAAAGCACCCCATACCATTGTCTTGTGCGCCTGATCGTCTATCCAGCTGCCAAGTCTGAAAATTATAGTACAAATTGTAGTACCGATAAATAATAAATATAATAAGCCCCTCCTTAGGCAGGTGACCCCTAGGCACAGGCCTAGGCCCAATTTGAATGAAAATTTATTAACATTCATTACAAGTTCTTTTGTGTACAGGCAGGTTGGCCAAAATGATGTGGTTACGGATTAGCCAAAAGATGTGTACTGGTCGGCAAAAATTTGTGTACGGGTTCGCCAAAGGGTGTAGAATACGGTTTGACGTGGGTACGGGTTGGTTTGGGTACGGGTTAGCCAACACCTGTCTACAACATAGGCCTAGGCCCTAGCCTCTTCACTGCAGTAGGCCGTAGCCTCGGTCACCAGCCTGTGTACCTAGGCCTAGCCTAGGCTAGAGCAAGGAGAACGGACAAAGAGCACACACTGACACTGACAAACTAAATAGCAAATATATTGGTCCATCCTTCCTTTATACATTTGCTTCTTTGCAGAGCTAAATATAACAGGTACGGTATACAACAATAAAGATAATTCTTACCTTCAATTATTCAGTAGAAACAGAACGCCGTGGAGAGGCAGCAGTGTACCAATCTCTTCCTCCTAACCTAGCGGCAGAGGGCGCGATTCAATCGCAAATGTGAATTGTGAAGCCCATATACAAGCCAGACCTTCATAAGACCCCATAAAAAAAATTATTAGTTTATCACCCCCTCCCTCATCACTTTTGGAGAAATTCCGATTTTTTTTTTCAATCAACATATATTTTTATTTCAAACATTCGTTTTTCCATCTTTTTTCACTTAAAAAGCTCAGCATTTCTTGCAAATTATGTTTACTGGTACAACAAAAACATTTTTTTTTTAAATAAAAATTTGATTCCATTCTTAGGTCTTTTTATATGTGTCCCTAACCATTGAATTACCTGTGAACATCGCTAAATGAGGGCAGAGTTAGCAAAAAATAAATAAATAAATAAACTAGTAATTTGTTTTATGGGGCCTAACTAGGGGAAAGCATTGATTAATCAATTTTGTATGATTTTAAAGTTTCCATACGCTTTTGATTTGAGTTTAAAACATCTTCCTATTGTTGCTTTTGTAGTTTCTGTTTAAAATAGTCATTGTTACTTTTTTTTTTGTTATTCTCAAGTTTAAAAACATACAGTATTACTGTCATTGTTTTTGTAAAGCATTTCGGATGTGTCTATACAAAATATAAGGAAGTGATCAGAGACGTCCGGAGTAGATAATTTCAATATTAATGTGTTTGATTGTAATTTGAAAATATATTATCTATTATGGGCTGAGACTGAAAATTATCTAGGTGAGAAACTATATTCCCATCTGTCATGTTTTGGCTTATATCTAAGTTCATATCCCTACTACTGTATGCTAATTTTAATTTCAGACCAGCAGATTTAGAGCATAAAGTCAAAGAAATTGCAAAACTTATATTTCTGATTCTGGTTTATAAGGCTGTGCTAAATGACATTTTCAAAATGGGATGCGAAGTAAAACAAGTAAAGATGTCACCAAATTTGCATAATATGCAAATTAGTTTCCGCCATTGAAGTAAATTCAACAATAACTCTGCATCTAAGCATTTATTCATGACAAATAAATCGTCCAAACCATGTTTTCAA